CTGGAAGTGGCTGAGCAGTGTTGTTTTTGCGCTGTGGAAGTTTCTTCAGCTTACCCTTACAAACAAAACAAAATGAAAACTGAAGATGCCCCAACATCAATCGAACAAATACCATTTTCAAGATGATCATCATTCCGTCAGACACTGCTTATATACAAATGCCCAAAACAGAGAAATGGAAAACTGTTAAGATATCATGTCACAGGATAAGATTAGGAGTCAGCAGTTCCCCGTTGCCTAAGAGTGTTTTCAGAATTCTTCCTTAATTGCTGCTGAAATTAATCTTAGGTTAATCCTAACCATTTCCTCTCCCTGCCTGCCTGAGTAATTTTAGAATCCATTAAGCAGACACCTCACTTTCTTGGGCAGTATTCTCTACTATTAACTACTATTAACTTCACAGGCCACAATTAACTGCTGATGGAAACTCAAAGTACTGCCTAAGTCAGTGATGGCAAACCTTTTAGAGACCGAGTGCCCAAACTGCAACCCAAAACCCACTTATGCATTGTCGGGTGCCGGGTGGGTGTGGCCCATTGGGTGGGTGTGGCTGCGGTGTAACAGCAGACTGGGTGGGACTAAAAAGTTCAATCCATCAATTCCAAATTTGCAAGATCTTTTTTTTCCCCGCAAGAAGTTGAAATTGACTGACTGATTGAACCTTTTTTTTTTTGTACACGGTGGTGGAGGCCTAAAGTGAAAAGGTTTTATAAAACCCAGCTGGAGGCCTAGGACTGGGGCAACGGCGTGTGTGCCCACAGAGAGGGCTCTGAGTGCCACCTCTGGCACCCGTGCCATAGCTTCGCCAACACTGACATAGACGATTAAAGTGCAGTCCTAGGCATACTTCCCTAGAAATGTGGGAGTTTTTATTTATATATTAGCCAATTTACTGACACTGCAATTTCAAATAACTCTTGGCAGTTTACACACTTGACAAGTTTTCCAAGCAGAAAGATATTTAGTTTTCTATCTTCACCAAAAATAAATAATGACTAGATGTCCTACTCATCACTTACTTTGACAGGCTGATTCTCTTCAGAACTGGAATCCTCGCTACTCGTCTCATCACTGCTGCTGCTGCTGCTACTCTCTGCTTTGCCATTGGTAGTTTTGGACATCGCCTTGGTAGGTTTTGCTGCCAATTGTGATTAAAATGTTTCCATTAAATTGAAACATCAGATAACCAGAGTAGCTTGAAATATTATATATGGTTTTAACAGTTTTCCCTCTCCTTTACAAATATATCTTTGTAATACAGGTAATCCCCGAGTTGCGAGCATTCACTTAGTGCAGTGGTTCTCAACCTGTGGGTCGGGACCCCATTTGGGGTCGATCGACTATTTTATGGGGGTCGCCAAGCAAGGCTGTCCGCCATTTTTTTTGTCCGCCATTTTTTCCCCTTTTCCAGCGGGTGCCTTACCTCCCTTGGGCTGGGCCAGCTGGTGGTCGGCCTGCTCCGTCTCTGCCGTTTGCCAGCTACGCCTCGGCCAGCGCAGGGGGCGGAACCACGCATGCGCGGCGCTCCCGGGCAGGGAAAGTCCTTGACTTACAACCGGTTGGGTAGTCCTCAACTTACGACCGGTTTAATCCTCGACTTACAACCGGTTTAGTCCTTGATTTACAACCGGTTTAGTCCTCGACTTACGACTGGTTGGGGTCGCGGCATTAAAAAGGTTGAGAACCACTGACTTAGTGCTTGTTCGAACTTAAACACGATAACCACTCCCCCCCGTGCATTCAGCCATGCGTTCGATTAGCGAATATGTGGGCGGAAGCAGGGAGCGATCGCATCCGAGCTGCGAGATTCACTCTTACGAATCCTCGAGTTACGAATGGAATGGGCAGGCTCCATTCCATTCATAACTCGAGGGCTACCTGTATATCTTTACAAAAAATATTTCCAAAAACAGCATCCAAGCTTACTTGGCAACATGTGAAACTAACCGAAGTTCAAAGGAAATTAGGCCATTTTCTATAGTTAAAAATGTGAATCATTAGCACTGTAAAACACTAATTCAACATATTAAGCACAAGAAATAAACAGTAAGAATTTTGCTCTTGTATATTACATGGATTCATACACTGAGCAGGAACTGAACTTGCAAACCAAACAAAACTACATGATCCCTTCCTAATTTATCTTTCAATTATTCCATTTTCAGCCTGAGGGCACTGCTGTTTCTCTAGATTCGCAGCAAGCCTGGGTCATAAGCAATTTATATTATCTTATTTTTCTGTCACACTTAAGATTTCTTCCACACGTTTCAATACCAGAATATGACTAAATTTTCTTTTATAAAACCCTATAAAAAAATCTCTATCAAAATACATTCATGTCTCCTTTACTTCTTTCACACATCACTTGAATTACTCACAAACTTATAACTTGAAGTTAGCTGTTACCTGTTGTAGAAGCCAGTTTTGTGACTTTTGGGGCTCTTTCTGATTTTGGTAGTTGTTGCTTTGGAGTTTCATCTTCTGAGCTGCTTGAATCCGAACTCTTAGATGTCTTCTGGGGCTTTGTTTTTTGGACGGCTGATTGGAGAACTTTTCCCTTCTATCAAGATAGGTCAGTATCAGTGTCAATCAATACAATGTAATTAGGATGGAAGTAGGCTTCAACAACAGATGGGTGCAACTTGTTTAAAATTATTGTTCTTCTCGCTCAGCATCTATTATTTTAGGAGAGCTGTGTCACTAAGAGAGCCTAACTCAGGGGTAGGCAACCTTGGCTCTTTTATGACTCGTGGACTTCAACTCCCAGAATTCCTGAGCCAGCATGGGGGAACTATGGCCCCCTCATGACTCGTGGACTTCAACTCCCAGAATTCCTGAGTCAGCATGGGGGAACTATGGCCCCCTCATGACTCGATTTCAACTCCCAGAATTCCTGAGCCAGCATGGGGGAACTATGGCCCCCTCATGTCTCGTGGACTTCAACTCCCAGAATTCCTCAGCCAGCATGGCTCAGCTTGGAAACCTCTCTCTTTCCCCTCAGCGTGGCTGGCTCAGGAATTCTGGGAGTTGAAGTTCCCAGGCCGGGCACCCGCTACCCAGGGCCCCCTTCGTTGCTTTCCGGGGGGGCCCAAGCGGTCCGAGAGAGTTAGGAGGCTCCTCCGATGGATCAGGCACCAGCGCATGCCTTGCTCCTGCCCCCTTCACTGAAGAATCCTCGATCCCCCCAGCCCTGCCTGGGTCCTAAGACACCTAATGCAAGTGAGGTTGAGCTGGTCACGCCCACCCAGTCATCCATCACCACCCCAACCATGGCCACCCAGCCCCCTGAGGATAACCACAATGCTGATGCGGCCTTCCATGAAATCGAGTTTGATACCCCTCTGCTGTATCCAATAAAATGAATTTTTTTCTACAATGCAAAGTTCTGTCCTTGAAGCTGGTGAAGGGAGACTTAATAACATTCCTTATCTAAATCATCATTGCACATGCTCAGTTATAACTACTGAAGCAATAAGTCACATCTAGATGCACTGTCTGCTGTACCAGAATTGGTGAGCGATTTTATTGCATCTTTTTTTTTAGCAGAGAAATTGGACCAAGCAGCTGCTAATTATTATTTTTATGATTTATGATTTGTGCATACTGTGCATACTGTGTTTCCCCCAAAATAAGACCTAGTCTTATTTTATTTTTTTTGCCTCCAAAAGAGGCACTAGGTTAGGGGTAGTCAACCTTGGCTCTTTTATGACTCGTGGACTTCAATTCCCAGAATTCCTGAGCCAGCTTAGCTGGCTCAGGAATTCTGGGAGTTGAAGTCCACGAGTCATAAAAGAGCTAAGGTTGACTACCCCTGCACTAGGTATTATTTTCAGGCCTTAGGACCAGCCAGGCCTTCCACACCCTGACACCTGTCATGCCGCTGCTTGACTTCTTCAGTGGCCGCTTGGCGCCACTTGCGGCCAGAAGCCATGTGGCACAGGGATCCCCAACCCCCGGTCCGTGGACCGGCACTGGGTCACGGCATACCAGCAACCAGGCCGCGCAAACAAGTCCCATCTGCTGGATGCAGATAGCACACGAAACCATGCCCCCTCTGGTCCACGGAAAAAATCTTTCGCCACAGAACCAGTCCTTGGTGCCCAAAAGGTTGGGGACCTCTGATGTGATGCATTGCACTGTTGCCGATACTCATGGCAAGAGGCCGCATGGTGCTTCGGCCGTTTCCACTCCCTGCGGCAGGACGCTCCATGGTACTTTGTGCTGTTGCTGCCGCTGGCGGAAAGAAGCCGCGTGGCTTCCTGCCACGAGCAATGGCAACAGCGTGAAGCGCCGTGCGGCATCATGCCATGAGCAGCGGAAACGGCCCAAAGGGCCACACAACATCCTGCCACGAGCAGTGGACATGGCCTGAAACACCGTGCGGCTTCTTGCCACGAGTGGCAACGGCCCAAAGCGCCATGCGGTTCCTTGCCGCAAGCGGCAGCAACGGCCCAAAGCACCATGCGGCACCCTGCTGCAAGCAGCAGAAACGGCCTGAAGTGCCGTGCGGAGCAGAAACAGCCTGAAGCACCATGCAGCCTTCTGCTGCGAGCAACAGCAATGGCCTGAAGCGCTGTGCAACGTCCTGCCGTAAGCCGCAGCGCTGGCGTGACAAGCCACGTGGCTTGACAAGTGTTGGGGCATGGGAGGCCTGGCTGCGGCAGTCCTACCGGTAAGGCAAGCGGGTGTGGGGCACATGGGGCAGCTTCACCCCCCCGCCCCTCCCTAGCTTGATTTTTAGGAGTGTGCCTCGCCCCCAAACTAGGGTTTATTTGGGGGTGTAGAGCTTATATTAGGCCCACCCCCCAAAATTAAGCTAGGGGTAGGTCTTACTTTTGGGGAAACACGATACATCTTATTTGATTCTATGTTTTGAATTTATTTCACTTCCTCTGGATGAGTTTTTAAATGTGGTCTCTGATGATAAATACACAAACTCCACAAGTTTTCCCTGTGGAAGAGGTATTGAGAAAATTAAAAACAAACCTTTGCTTGATTCTTCTTTTCTTGCTCAGAGTCTGTGGAATCGCTGCTGTCAGTACTACTGCTTTCAGAGTTGCCTGGAGTTGCCTTTACTGATACTGGGTGCTTAGTCACTGGTTTTGCAGCTAGAATGTAAAATAATAATTACGGTAATCGATAACTATTCCTCAAAAACTAAAGATCAGCTTCTATAGTCTATGACAATGAACAGCTAAGGTTGGGACCATCAATCATAAAAAGTAAATCTAAAGAACTGCTCAGCTCTAAAGATTCTGGAAAGTTTAGAATAAAGATGAAATAAAAATTCAGTATAAATCCCAGCACCCACTAATCTACAATAAATCAAGAATACATGACAATATACAGTATGTTCCATCTAAACAGTGGCAGAAGAATATATCTAAATTTGTATGGCAAAGAAAAAAGGCATGAGTTAAATACAAGATATTAAAGATGTGAAGAAAAGAGGACTGGTCCGACCAGATTTGAAGCTATATTTTGCTGCCTGTTGTTTAGTTTGGATGAGACTGGGTGTTGTTAGAAATAGGCTATTGGATTTAAGAGGTCACCATTTGAGATTTCAGTGGAATAATAATAGTAGTAGTAGTAGTAGTAGTAGTAGTAGTAGTAGTAGTAGTAGTAGTAGTAGTAAAGTTGGAAGGGACCTTGGAGGTCATCTAGTTCAACTCCCTGCTCAGGAAACCCTATACCATTTCAGACAAATGGCTGTCCAGTCTCTTCTTAAAAACTTCCAGTGTTGGAGCATTCACCGCTTCTGGAGGCAGGTTGTTCCACTGGTTAATTGTTCTAACTGTCAGGAAGTTTCTCCTTAGTTCTAGGTTGCTTCTCTCCTTGATTAGTTTCCATCCCTTGCTTCTTGTCCTGCCTTCAGGCACCTTGGAAAATAGCTTGACTCCCTCTTTTTTGTGGCAGCCCCTGAGATATTGGAACACTGCTATCATGTCCCTCCTCGTCCTTCTCTTCATTAAACTAGACATACCCAATTCCAGCAGCCGTTCCTTATATGCTTTGGCCTCCAGTCCCCTAATCATCTTTGTTGCTCTTCTCTGTACTCTTTCTAGAGTCTCAGCATCTTTTTTACATTGTAGTGACCAAAACTGGATGCAGTATTCCAAGTGTGGCCTTACCAAGGCATTGTAAAGTGGTATTAATACTTCACGTGATCTTGATTCTATCCCTCTGTTAATGCAGCCCAGCACTGTGTTGGCCTTTTTGGCAGCTGCAGCACACGGCTGGCTCACATTGAAGTGATTGTCCACTAGGACTCCGAGGTCCCTCTCACAGTTACTACTATTGAGCAAGGTACCCCCTTATACTATACCTGTGCATTTGGTTTTTCTTGCCTAAATGTAGAACCTTGCTTTTTTCACCATTGAGATATTTATGATATGATAAAAATTCCATAATGGTAAACAAGTATCTGCTATGTTACTGCTGAAACACCATTCTCTGAGTCAAAAGGGGAATCAACTTATGTGACATTTTATCGGTAATACAACAAACCACTCTGAAAAATAAATTGTTATACACAGCCGTATCATTGAGGCAATAAATTAAAATGTACTATTGCCTTCAAGAATACAAAGAGGGCAAATATTTTTTAATCAAGCATGAAAGATTACACTAGACATAAACCAGCAAGCCTCACCTTGTTTTTTGACTGGAGGAATTTTATTTTCACTGGAATTTTTGTATCTAGATAATGATTCTTTCTTTGTCTTCTTTGCAGGAGACTCATTTGTCAATGTTCGCTGTTTTTTGGCAATAGGTGATCTGAATGGATAAGTGAATGAGAAAGTATAAGAATCGCTATTCTGTATTCCATATTGGAATGTTCAGGAGACATATGATGTAGCCAGTGTGCGATGGTAAACATAGCTGGGCATATCCAATGACTAAAAAAGAGACCATCTCATGCTCCAATACAGAAGGTGGGGGAAAATGAAAACATTCATCTAAATATTCATAGTCAAGAAGCTGTGGTTATATTTACAGCATTTCTAACTCAATTTGTAATTAAAAGCAATCCGAAAAGGCCCATTTGAAACATTCATAATGCCTGGAGAGATAATGCAGTTACTGCTGGTATCTTATTAACCTATAACATGAATATTTTTTGTAAGAACAAAGTTTATTAATATTAAAGGAGTACAGAATAATTTAGTATAAAATGCAACTACTAGTAAACATCCCCACAACCTTTATATAGTACAAATGAAGCAGGTCTCATTTATTTACAAATATATGTGCCTCTATAACAGTGATGGCGAACCTTTTGGAGACCGAGTGCCCAAACCGCAACCCAAAACCCACTTATTTATCACAAAGTGCCAGGGCCGCATCAGCATTGTGGTGCCCTCGGGGGGGCAGGGAGGCGCCTCTGAGTGCTGCCTCTGGCATGCAAAAACCGGGGGCGCAAAAATGGCCGCCGCCACACCACGGGGTACAGATACGAGGCGCTGCACCACGCAAAAACGGGGCAGGGCTAGTGAGTATCACACAGGCACTAGCCCCGCACGCACATGTACGCATATAAAAGGCTTCCCCCTTTTTTCTTCCAGGCCACCAATCGACAATGGTTGGTGACTTCTGCTCTACCACCTCTACTCAAGCTTGCCAGCGACTGCTTTGCCTTTGTGCTGGGCGGGGCTCCTGCTCTGGGCGACGGTGGCGGCCTGATGGACCTGCTGTTGGCGGTGGTGGCACGCATGCCAACAGAGAGGGCTCTGAGTGCCACCTCTGGCACGCATGCCATAGGTTCGCCACCACTGCTCTGTAACATACAGCTATTAGCACAGTGATGGTGAACCTTTTAGAGACTGAGTGCCCAAACTGCAACCCAAAACCCACTTATACATCTTCGAGTGCCAGGTGGGCATGGCCCATTGGCTGGGTGTGGCCAATTGGGTGGGCGTGGCTGCAGTGGTAACAGCAGACTGGGTGGGACTAAAAAGTTCAATCAATCAATTCCAACTTTGCAAGATCTTTTTTTCCCCCGCGAGAACTTGAAATTGATTGATTGAACCTTTTTTTTTTTTTTGCACACGGTGGCGGAGGCCTAAAGCGAAAAGGTTTTATAAAACCCAGCTGAAGGCCTAGGACTGGGGCGACGGCGCGTGTGCCCACAGAGAGGGCTCTGCATGCCGCCTCTGGCACCCGTGCCATAGGTTCGGTACTAGCAGATAAATTCATGAGGGTATATACAGATACTTCACAATTTATAACAATTGGGACTAATATTTTCAGCGCTAAACAATGCAGCTGTAAAGCATAAACCAGGTTATTATTAGTTAACTGGATCCCATGGCTGTTTGGGGAGGCAACTGCCTTCTGGCTTCTCACAACCAAAGACAGTGGGGAAGCTAGCAGGAAGTTGCAAGCAAGTAGATAGGTAAGTGACTGCTGCCAGGTGGGGGAGAAAAAGAAAGGGTCTGCAAGAGGTGTGACGAAGGTCTGGGAGGATGCAAGGGAGTGCACTAGATGCCACAGGGGGAGGGTGCACAGGGTTCAGAAGAGGGGAGAAATGGGGAGTGCACAAGGGTAAGCAAGAGCACAGTGCAGATCAGGGAGGACGTGCACGAGAGATGCAGATTAGGGGAACATACAAGGGTAGGTATAAAAGATGTAGTGGATGAAAGTTGCATGAGGGTGTAATGAGGGTCAGAAGAGTGCTGTGGGTGTGCAAAAGGGCCATCAGGGTGAGGCACAGAGGGGCTGGGAAGACAGCGTATGGGTGGGAGGGGGCTTACTCAACAACTTGCAACTTTACTGGCTGGCTCCCCCTTGACTTTCTAGGGAAGATTACAAATGCAATTGTAGGGTGCAGTGTCATAAGTTCAAACTGGTTGCCAAACCCACAGATCATATGACTGCTGGGATGGCTGGAACTCTTGAGACTTCTCCTAATCACCATTTGTTCAGTGCTGTTATAACCTTAAGTCACTGGAAAAAATGGCCACGGGTTTAAGCATAACAAATGCATTTTACTCAGCTACAAAGATGTCTAAAACATTTTGTGAATAGAGCATAGCTTGCCCTTGCCTGGACAATTGTTTTGTTTAAACCCAGAACCCACTTTTTTTTGGTCGAAATACGTGTTGCAGAGACAGCCATACCAAGATAGAAAAGGAGCTGGGATAACCAAGAGCAAGGTAGATGGACCGGTCAGGTTACGCCTGTTGCATTTGAATTCAAGCATGGTAGCAGCAGGAAAAAACAGCATTGGGAATGGGGAAGGTGTAGGTTGGGAGCACAGTATTATATATTTATATATTTTATTATATATTTAATTTATATGCCGCCCTTCTCCCGACAGGGACTCAGGGCGGCGCACAACATGTTTAAAACCAGAACATCTATACAATCCCCCCCTTAAAACCGAATTAAACCGAATTTTAATGTTGCGTCTTCCGAATATTTAAAACCCAATGTAAAATCCACCCTAGGTCAGGTCCGCTTGCTGGAAGAGCCATGTCTTGAGG